CAAGCCAACAAAAAATACATACAGAACCCCCATGACGCTCTTGACGATTGACTGGAACTCATCATCTGTGTATTCACGAGTTGGAAACGGAGCAAGTCTTATGTTAGACGGGCTAAACTGCATCCAGGGTAGCTCAAGTTGTGTGAGCGATGAAGTTGAGTCTGATAGTGATTGTAGCTCTTTGGTGTCTGAATTTGTCATTTGTTGTTGTGAGGCGAATATAATGAACGAATCCATTACTTGTTGAAGCTGCAAACAGAGGAGTGATGTAAATAAAGATGGTTTGGCAAACAGGATGATTTTGCAGTTTCTAGGTCTCATTAAATAATTTGCTGAAGGTGTTGAGAAAAAATTCGCAACATGTTTCAAAAAATAAATCAATACATAGATAACATTTCTCATCAATCAGAATTTAAAATTAATAAATATTGTCACTTTTTCTTTTTCCTTTTTAAATGTCCCGAGGGAAGGAATGGAAGCAGTAACTTGCTTTAGCATTAGTAAGAAAGCAACACACCCAGAACCAGTTATGCATAATATGAATAGTCAAAGCTAAATAAAATTCCTCAAAAACTGTAGAAGGATACTTGAGACCATACAGTTAAAAATCCACTGAAGCTGTACTGCATTATTGGTATTATGTTCACACCTAATTCCAAGTCATTAAGAAAAGGGCCATTAACGTCCATGATGGATTTAACATCAGGAAATCCTGAAAATGCCCATGTGTGATTCAAGCGTATACTATAGTCAAACAATCGAGGCCCTTGAGAATGAAACACAATTGCTCCTTTTATTCTTGGGTTAGTACAATTCCTACAAGAAGAATGAAGTGGTGTTAGTTTTATTTTTTTTTTTTAAGCATATACCGACATTTATCAGACAAGTGCAGGATGTTGTGATCTGGGTAAACCATGAATAACTTTGGCCATTAAATAAAAAATATTCAAAGAAGCACAACTGCAGTGTATCTTAGATCAATGGACTCAGAAAATTAGACTCATATTTACAGATAAGTTGCCGGGATGAAGAGTTTTTATTTATTTGTGTTCTGAAAAGTGGAAACACCAAGCCAGTAAAGAAACAAGGCAAAACCCCAGCCAGCACAAAGAATGAAAATCAAAATGAGGCAAATAAAAGAAACCATAACTCACTTCACTTTATCGTAAGCACCATAAGCATCTGAGTGTATGTATGCCTCAAGCTCTTCTTCATCATGAAAAACTTTGGCAGCCATCTGGATTAAGTTGAAGTAAAATAGACATTTTGAAAACAGTTATAAATATGAGCAACATGAATAACTTCAAAACTTCAATCAGAAAACTGAAATTAAGAAGCCATGTTGCTTCTAAAACTCCTCAAAGAATTTGCATCCAGATAAGACAAACTCCACATATATAAAGAACATGAAATAATAACATAACAAAGTCCAAGCTCTAATCAGATTAGCATACCCTTTTTAACCATTGTATCTTTGAGCTATCTAATCCATCCTCAATATATTTCAAATTTCATCAGAAAATTCTTTCAGGTTCATAAATGGAGGGAAAAAATAATCCAACCACGTATGGAAGATAGGAGAAGTGGCATCATTGAGAATGATCTCAGTACATAACCACATTCGAGCACATAGAAGACACTTAAAAAAACAAGATAAGACACAAATTGCGAAAAAAGGCGAGAGAGACACCGGGGAATCAAATCAAACAGAAAATATATGTGCATACCTTAAGCAAAGGAAATTTTACAGACAGTAAGTTAATCATCATCCTCGTCTCATTCGTATCAGGTGCGAACGCCAGATACTCGCCCTTGGCACATAACAATTCCAAAATTTGTTCAAAAGGTGCAGACTTTTCACTTTTCCCCACTTCCACAAGCATGTCTTTTCTAATATATCTGCACCAGACGCCATATTCTCAGTTTCTAAGGTCGGCATATAAGATTTGAACTTCGAAGCAAAGTATATATTCGGATCTTCGGGATACAATGAATGATCTGTGCACTATTAAGCATCCCATTGGTTCAGCAACAAAAACTCATGATTACAGTAAAAATTTCAATGCTCCCCAAATAAATTGAAATTAAATACTTACGCTTCCGGAGGATGTACTCGTGTATCAACTCTAAGCCTTACGGCTATAAGCAACAGCATAACAACAGTTGGGAGCAAAATCTGCCAGATGGAAGGAAAAATAGATGAATCAACTACTCATTATTTACCTAGGCCAGCACTAAAACAACGTGAATAATGATTTTTCAACCACCCCTATACTCCAATTTGTTAAAAGATTCAAAATTTAAACAAAACCAGCAAACGCAACAATCAGCTACATCAGCACTAAAACCCCAAAACAAAGAAGCATGCTAGACAGCTGGAAGAAACCCAGAAACCCAAATAAAAACCCATGCAAGAAACTAATAACAACAACCCAAAACCAAAATCAATTATATGAGGAAACCCATAATCAATAAACATGCAAGGGAAAAAAAAAAATAAGAAAATAGCTGCAAATTGAGTGGATGCGCGAGTGAAAGCTGAAAAAAACCTCTGCACAAGTGACGAAAGGGTGCCGAATTTTGAGAAGCCAGTTCTTGCGGAGCATAGCCTTCAGCTGTCTCGTGGACCTCCTCTTCTCAATTTTCTCCTTTACCTTCTTCATACTGAAAATGATCACTAATTTGGAGCTTCGATCAGACGAACCAAACTCTCTCTCTCTCTCTCTCTCTCAGTTCAGCTGAATATTAGTATAATTGTCTGATCCGAACATTCTCTCTCTCTCTCTCTCAGTTCAGTACAGTTAAATATTAGTATAATCCCATTTTTGCAAGCCTCCACCGCCGCCCCTTTTGTCTTCAACTTTTTCCACACCCACCGGCGGCCACCAGATATTACAAACCTCGACGGAATAGTTCTGTAACATGACCGTAACATCTTCAAATTATATATAACCTTTATTTGGTAGTTTGAGCTAAATTATAAGTTTGAGTTTAAGCCCTCTATTTTGATTGCTTATTTTATAACAATTTAAAATATCTTTTGGACTCAAAAAATAACTAAAAAATTAATATAAAAAGGTTTTGGGAAAAGGTGATTATAAAATTGATTATTTTTTTATACATAGTTAATTATTTTATCAAGCAATATGCATAGTTCAATCAATTATTTACTTATTAAATCATTTATCCTCTATAATAACAATTAATTCAATCAATTATAAGCTTATTCAATCATCTACCATCCATAAAAAAATGAAAATAAAAAAGATTAAAAAAAATAAAAAAAAAATAACTAGACTTGTAATTAAAGCAAAATAATAGCACACAGAGTCAAGTGGAAAAAGATGTTACTTTGGAAAAGAAAAAAAGAAATATGACCTACTATCAAGTTCCTTCCTCTTCATTGACTTAACAACATTTACACTAAGCATATACTTTAAATAAATAAATAAATAACGGTTATTACATTTTGGGCATTAAATTTAAAATCAAGTTACTTTATCATTTTTATTTTTTTATTTTTTTGCATATGAATGACATAAATAATGTATAAGTATTGAAATTATTGAGTTCAAACATATAATCTTGCTATATGTATTGCTTTTAAATTTATGTCAATATTATTATATCATTGTAGCATAATTCTTAAATTTAACTCAAGGAACGTTTGATAGATAGAAATGAAGGAAAAAATTGTTATTGATTTTATTTAGATTTTGTGTATGTAATTATTGAATTTTTAAATATTTCCTATCAAGATTTGATGTTTTAACTTTTAGAATTAGAATGTAAGTTTATTTTACAATCTAATAGTTCTTGGTCGGCTGACTATTAAAATGTGAGGACCCACATTTTAGCTTTTCTTATCTTAAGAAAAATGACATTTTCTCTTGTTCTTTAACCTAATTTCCAAGCATTTTAGCTTATCTTGTTGCCTTTTTACTATGTTTCGTAGACCAATAAGCTAGCTTATAATTTATTTGATTAGCTTATAAGTTTCATGTATTTAAATAAGTCTCGTTTGGTAGGACGAGCTTATTTAAAAAGCTCGAGCTTATTTATTTGATAAGTTTCATCAGGTAGCTTTTGAAATAAGCTAGTTGAATTTTTTATTCCAACTAGCTTATCAGCTAATTTTACCAAACACTTTTATCATATAAGCTAGCTTATCAGCTTCAAGTCATAAGCTATAAGTTATAAGCTAAAAAATTATTGATAAGCTATAAGCTAGTTTATCAGCTATCAGCTAACTTATCAGCTGATTTTACCAAACATAGCCTAGATAATGTAAAACAGAAAATTAAAATTAGTTAAAGAAAATATAAATTATCTTAAGCCACGAATTTTATAAAATTATTAGATTACGTTTGTTAAAACTGACCGATAAACTAGTTGATAGCTGATAAGCTAACTTATAGTTTATAAGTAAATTTCAAATTTATAGCTTATAGCTTATACCTTATGACTTATAGTTTAAGAACTAGCTTATATAATAAAAGTATTCGTCAAAATTAAATTATAAACTAGCTAAAATAAAAATTTCAACGAACTTATTTGAAAAATTACATAAAGAAATCTATGAGATAAACATGAGATTCTTAAAGAAACTCAACCAACCAAACAAGACTTATTTAAATACTGAAACTAATAAGCAAATAAGATATAAGTTAACTTATTACCAGCTTAGTGATGTTTTTATGTTGAATTTTAGGATTTTGGCCCACTCATGCAAACATAGCCAGTTGGAAGCAAAATATTCTGAGCAACTTTTACTATGGCCCACTCAAATTGACTAAAGCCCACAAAAAGATCAAATAAGATAGGCCCAACCAACCACAGGCCCATTCAAATGCGTTATTTTTTATTTTTTTTAATTTTTTTTAATTATGTTTTCAAGTCAAGCAAATTAGAATATCAAATCAAAAAGGGCAAAAATTTCCCATAACAGACAAATTACCCATATGATTATGGTAGCAAACAACTTCATCTACATTCCTTTATGATATACAAATGCAATACAAAATACACCCTTTTAACTGAAAAAAAAAAAAAATATAAATGATTAAAAGGATGAAGAAAAACACAGAAAAAGTTCAACATAAAAACACCAACCAAATCAAAGAACTCAATCTTCTTCTCGTCTGAAAGCTGCTGACACGCGATCATAGCACACAACGGTAGTAGGTAACGAGACTTTGCACAAACGAAAAATAAAAATACAAAAATAAAGAAAAAAAATCAGAGCCGAACAAACTAGCACTTCGAATTTGCAAGATTGTTTTTTTTTTTCCTTTTTTTTTTAATGTTTTGAGCAATTTATATTTCTAGAAGAGATCGACTTTCCTTTTATGCATGTCCTGTTTCCACTTTGGCAGCTTGTAGAATGCTTGTTTGGTCATGCCCAGCACAGATTCGAACTCGTCATCCGAGAGGTAAGCCTGGAAAAAGCCATTTAAAAATAAAAAGGAAAAAGAAATACACGTCGATGATATTTATGTTGTGAAAACTAGCCATGAGGTTGAGTACCATAAAAACAGAAAAAAAGAGATAAATTTTCAAAATTACACTTGCTTCTCGTTTTTCATGATTTCACCATCGAAAGGAAGGTACTTTTTTTAGGTCATTTGCTACACTTGGATGGCGTCGAGGATAGTTTTGGTAATTAATTGACCAATCATAAAATAAAAATGGATAGAACATTGAGAGGGAACAACAAACAAACCTCTCTGCGTTTAAAGTCGATTCCTGTAACAGGATTATCGGATTTGGACTTCAGCTGGTCGTAACTAAATATGCTCCGACTATTTTCCGAGCCATTTTCATCATGGTCAACTTCCGGTTTTGACCCTGAATCCTCCCCATTAGGCTCTAATGCGGGCTCGACTACATTCGGGACTTCTTTGGAGTCCTCAATATCAACAGAATCTTCACTTTTCGCAGAAGCTGAAATCAAGATAATTTACAGACTTATTGAAGTGTGTACATTATCCATGCAAATACGACTGATTTATAGGTAGATTAGATCCCACGTTCAGTCAAAACAAACACGTGTATCTTGATATCTAAACACTTTGATAAGTCCCAATTCGGTTTCCCGGGGGCTCAAGTGCAAAACGGTTCAAACTTTCGGGGGCAAAATGTATTTAAATCTCATTTATGATAACCCACAATCCATGAAAGAAAAAGAACACGAGTGTTTCCTGAGACGGTCAATTTTTGCACTTTGCCCCTCGGCCAGCCAAAGACCCAAATATCTCATCTCATTGATTAAGTCCCAAGTCGGTTTCCCAGATGGCTTAAATGCAAAAAGGTTCAAACTTTTGGGTGCAAAATGTAATTAAAGAAAATGAATTGCTTGTACCGGGAGGACTGGCTTCTGAAAGTGGGCCCCGACTCGACCGTGCAGGAGACACGTCAGGCGAACCTTTCTTTTCGGCAGTCAAAACAGAAGACAAAGCAGCTACTGCAGCTGCTCTCTGTGAACCCCCACTTTTCCCACCCGAGCGTGGGGTCGAGCCAGTTTTCAGGGGTGGTGATGAACTGAATGCCGAGTTTAAGGCGGCCAAAGCCGAAGCTCTTTGAGTGGGTCCCCCTTGATTAGAGCCATTGGACTTATCCTGGTTTTGAAGATAAGCTCTAACCAAGTCAATCTAATATCAAACCAAATCATGGTACCGTCCCTTTTCATATATGCACATATATTAAGAAAGTGCATTTCTTTTGCATCATAAAATACACAAAATAATCAAACTTTCCATTATATTCCGATTTACTCACTTTTCAAATTTCAACATCATTTTTTTTTTTTTTTTT